AACACCTCCAGGGATGGACGGGGCATCCACAGCCTCTCTGGGCAGCTGTTCCAGCACCTCACCACTCTCATAGGAAAGAACACCTCCCAAATTGCTTTGCAAAATTAGTCAATCCTCTTCTTGTTTCCATCCATCCTATCCAGCTTACACACCCAGCATACCACTGAATGTGGAATTATAGATCAAGAATGCAGCTTTTGCTTGACCTGAGTAAGTAGTCAATATTGGAATCTTGTCAGTTGCTTTCCAATAGAAGAACCAGGGAATGGAGCAGCATGTTACTTTGATGTAGCCCTTGTGATTTACAAAGAATATGCAAAGGTCCATTTCCTTGGACAGAAGAGAAATTAAGCAAATACAGTTGCTTTATTCATATTATCTAGTCTCTTTCAGTTAACCATTGGCCAGAAGATCCTGGCCACGATCCCAAAGCTAGTCCTGACAGCCTTCTTTGGATTCTCTGTCTTCTTGCTCTCCTGGACAGGCACACACAGTGCTTTCAAACACTATCAGCCTGCCTACTGCTGCAGTGGCACGTAGCTGTCTGTGAAATCCTTTTACCCATGCAGCATGGATTGCTGAGCATCACTGACTGTAGACTTCAGTTCAGGTGTTGGCTTTTTAACCATTCCATTTGATAAACAAACGTAAAGTCTATTCTAGTTTCCACAGCCTATTCTATAAAGAAATGTATGTTTCCTACATTCATCCTGCATAAATGGCAACAGTTTATAGCCACAGATTCCAGAACAGGGACAGGTTGATGACAAAGAATATTAATTGGCTGCTTCTTCCAAGTGTTTTTCCTTGTTCTCTTGATTTGGGCAAATATAGGGCAACACTGAAGACATTATTTTATAAAACTTCAGGAATTATATTCTAATGATACTAGTTTGTATGACAGTAAACATTTATCTGTAGTTCTGTAGTTAATTTGCTTCCATTTAGTATTAAAGCAGTCTAATCAGTAGATTAAGCATTTCACCTAATGGATTTATATTTATTTGTGTAATCGCAGAGTAGAGTTGAGCAGTCTACAAGGCACTGACATTTACACACATTTCACATTCTGTTTTGATTTCATTCTTGGCTTTCAGACATTCGATTTGGATCATTATCAAGTTGTTACAATGTTTGCTGTTGTACACTTTTGTTCTCCAATACAATGGAAACAGTGTTTAGTCTGGTTATTTAATTACATATATTAACTACTTTTATGCTTTGGAATTAAGAACGTTGAATGTCTGTTCAGAAAAATCATTGAGAGAAAGAGCTGAAGCAGAGCATACTTTCTTTATGCTAGATATGCAGAAAGTAGGCATGCGTGAGGGAAAATACTCCTGATGCTCATAAAACTTATAATTAAAAATAATGGTTTTGCTCAGTAATACATTTTTCATTCCTGAATCTGAGCTCAAGCTGTGCTACAGCTGGTGCCCACGTTTTGTTTTGGTTTTATGTACCTGATGAATATATCTGTGATGGGCCTGTGATTCTGGAAAAGCATGTGTCCCGTACATCAACCTCAAGAAATTAAACTCCCATTAAAAGAGAATGTGCCCACTATTGAGAAAGGAGGAGAACTGGGGAAAATGGCATGCTATATTTATGCGTTTTGTGTGTCAGCAGGATTCTAGCAGATGCTTGTGGAGAATCATAATATGTTTGCACATTTCTTGGTTCAGCCATTGAGTTGTGTTTGGTACCCTAAGTATTTGATTAAAAAAAAAAACAACACACAATTAAGATGTTTAATGATGGAGACAGATCTAAACGTCTACAGAAATGACATTTTGATCTTGTTGAACAACAAAAGGAAAAAAATAAGGGGGAGGACCATGAGAAGAGCTTCTGAATGTTGAAGAAAGGAGTGGAACAGAGGAAGTAAAAAATGAGAAATACTTATGAGTAATAGTACAGTATTTACCAGTCTTGCTGAAGGCAATCAAAACTGCCCCAAACCTACTTTTTAATCAAGATATACCAACTTGTACCCCAGCAGGCAGTTCAGAACAACACAGCCATTTGCTCACGCTCCCCAGATGGGATGTGGGAGAGAACCAGAAAGGTAAAAGTGTGAGAGCTCATGAGTTGACGTAAAGACAGCTCACTCAGTAAAGTAAAATCTGTGTGCAAGCAAAGCACAACAAGGAGTCCATTTGTTACTTCCCATCAGCAGGCAGATGTTCAGCCATGCCCAGGAAAGCAGGGTTCAGCACACATAACAGGGAAGACAGAATCAAAGAACCACACAGAATCACAGAATGGCCAGGGTTGGAAGGGACCTCAAGGATCATGAATCTCTAACCCTCCTGCCACATGTAGGGCCTCCAACCTCCCCATTTAATACCAGACCAGGCTGCCCAGGGCCCCATCCAACCTGGCCTTGAACACCTGCAGGGATGGATGGGGCATCCACAACCTCTCTGGGTAGCTGTTCCAGCACCTCACCACTCTCATAGTGAAGAACTTCCCCCAAATAAACACCATCTCTCCAAATATCCCCCCTTCCTCCTTCTTTCCCCAGCTTTCATTACTTAACATGATGCCATGTGGTTTGAGACATCCCTTTGGTCAGTCTGGGCCAGCTGTCCTGGCTGTGTCCCTTTCTGTGTCTTGTGAACACCCAGCTCCTTGCTGGAAAGTCCTTGGTGCTCCGTAAGTACTGCTCGCATACAAAGAAAGCGAGTAAACCCAGGTGCAAGCAATTATCACGTTAATGCAATAGCTCCTAGCGGCCACTGAGTGGCTATCCAAGGCAGCTCTCTTCAGGGCAAGTCCGTGTAGGTGTTGACGGTACACATTTCCCACAGCAGCACAGTCGCAGATGAGCCAGGTGACAGCAAAGAAAATCTTTAGCAATACAGGATATCGGGGGGATGGTGATTATTTTTTTCTTTCAAAAATATGTAATATTCTACAAAACATGAGAATTCATTTCAAAGCAAATATTCTCTCTCTATAGATGGTATTTTCCCCTGTACTGACTTTACTGTCACTTCCTTGTAACCAAAACTCAAGTCCTCTCCAACACGTGTTGAAGTGTAAATTACATCTACAAATTGCTGGAGTATTAGTGTGGTTGCAGCAGTTATGAGCTCTCATTCCCCAAATAGATTTCTCTCCTTTTGCCAAAACAAATCACACTCAAAGGAGAAGTACTGCGTTGTATGTAGTGCTCCACACCATCTTTCTGAGTCACCATTACATTCACTCCTGTCTCAGTATTAAAGGTAGAGGTTTTTCTGCAGTGTAGCCAAAGTCAATGTAACAACTCTCTGTTCATTGCAGTGTACCTCTGTGACTGACCAGTGCCAGTGCATTACCGGATACTGTATTGCAATAGGATGGAGGCATATGAGGATAATTAGAAAAGTGCAAGGTGTTCTATCTGTCACAGACATCAGTGAGCTGTGAATCAATTTGCAATTCTGCTACGTTATCACTTGTACATGTTAATGCTGAAACTACAACAATGTAGGAGAAAAACATCAGAAGCGTTAAGAAGTCTTCATCTTTATTAGCTTTTAGAATTCATTTCCATCCTTTTATTTTTTTCTTAAGCACACGTACTGTTTGTATTTTATTGGTTGGCAAGAGTGTACAAGACATACCTACTACACAAGAATAAAAATTGCACAAACCAGTCATTTGCTTATTTGTGCTGCCAGTGTGCAAGAACTTGCATTGCCACTTTGTCATCTGTTTTGTATCAGACACTTTTTTTCAGCTGGAATATTATATGAGAAGAGTTAAAGTGTGCATTTTAGGCATACTTGTATTTTTAGACATCTGGTAAGAACAGTAACACCCATCAGCTTTTTATTAATAACGCATAGTGAGGAAGCAGAAAAGGCTGTTAATCATATGGCATATCCCTAAGTGAAGGAAATGTAGTGAAACTACTTCCCTGAGATCAGTAGGTCTCCAAGGTGCCCTGCAATGTCAGGTAAACCCACGGGATGCCAGGCCCACTTGTATGGGCTGTGTGTTGGCCAGAGCTCAACCTGTTGTAACAGGGCCCTTCTCAGAGAAAAAGCTGATGCAGTACCTGGTATTGTTCTCACTGCTGGGATGCAAGCAGATGCTGGTTCATTGTAACGTTTGTCTCGCCAGACTACCAGAGCACAGAGCTGCTGCACAGAATGCTGCTGCAGTGCACAGTCACCAATTCTAAACAGACACCTGATTTGGCCTCCTACCTGCTGCGCTTTGGTTTTGATCACCCTTTCCAGCAGCACAATGCCATGTGTCCATATGCAACCCAGGATAACTAAGAACTACATTCTCATGGTGGCAGCTCCATCTTTCTTGGTAGCCTGCAAAGAACCTCACAGAATTAATGGCACTGTCTCCATCTGGACAAATGCTCTTCATTCAGGCTGCCTCCAAGCACTGGCAGAGTTTCCTCAACAGATATCAAACAGCACCGAGCACTGCCTCGTGCCCTTTGCCACAAGTTACCAGCACTACTGGGATGCTGCTTAAGACTTTTATTGCTTTCCTCCGAAGGTTCAGTTGAGACAGGACTTCAGCCTCTCTGATCTGCCACCCGCACAGCCTTCATAGCGCGGGTCACCCCGCGTGCCAGCTTCTCGAGGAGCCTGACAGCGGCCTTTCTCTGCAGTCACCTCAGCACAGCCAGCAGCGCCCCGCCCTCTCAGCCAGCTTCCCACAGGGCAGCACAGCTCTCTACCACAACGCACGAGGCCTACTGCCGTCCCGAGCGGCGACACCGGCCGCTCTCTCCCAACAAGGGCCGCTCTCTCCCAACAAGAGCCGCCCGCACAGAACGCTGCACGGCCGCTCCCTCAGCCCGGCCACGGAAATGGCGGCGGAGAGGCGGGCGAGCGGCGTCACGTGCCGGGGGCAAACCCGAGGCCTTCCGGTCACGTGACGCGGGCGCTCGGCCCCGCACCGGCCGCACACAGCCCTCCCCCCTTTCCCCCCGGAAGTGACGTAGGCCGCCGCGTTGGTGCGCAGTCGTTCGGTGCGGCCGGACGCGGAGCGGCTGGAGCTGCCCGGCGGCCACCGCGTCTCGCAGGCGGCACCGCCCGCCCGGCCCCGCCCCTCCGCCACCGCCTCACGCACGCACTGCGCGTTACGCGTTACGCACGCAGCGAGACAGCCGAGACCGCCACCACGAAGCGCCGCAGCCCGGTGAGTGCCCGGCGCCGAGGCCCGCTGCGGCCGCGAGCGGCACCCGCTTCCGGAGCTGCTCCGGCCCTTATGTAAGGCGCCTCGGGCGGCCCGCGGCCATCCGCGCTCCGGCTGCGGGCCGCGGCCGCGTCATCCCGGGCCCGGCGCCCTGCGGCACGGAGGGGATGCCGTCGTCCCGCGGGCGGGCGGGCGGCGGCCGCCAGGCGGGGCCGCGCCGGAGCTTACCCTGGAGCTTACCGCCGAGCAGGTGTCGGGGCGGCCCTCCGCGGCCGGCCGCTGCGCCGCCGCCGCATCTCCGCGTTTGCTTTGTGCGGCCGGGCGGGAGGCGGTGTGCGCGGCGGGTTTGTCCTGGTGCCTCTGCGAGGTGAGGGAGGAAGAAGTATTGGCCGGGCCGCGGTGCGGGCTGTGCTTTCTGCGCTCGTCCGGAGCGTCCTGAACAAAGGGTGAGATTCCCGCTGTGAGAAGTGTCAGAAGTTCTGTCTGAAGCGCTGCGGGGCTGTCAGTGCGGGATCAGCTCCGTTCCTGGGCCGTTCGTCCCGCTGTGCGTCCCTCTTAGCGGGACCGGGCTTTGTGTCTGCCCCGAGGTGGTTGAACTGTAAGGTGTCTCCTTGGTGTCACGGCACCTCTCTGCTGCCCCGTGCCTTCTGTGGCACTCATTTCACACTTCACCTTTCAGCTCAGGCAGTGGGAGAGGCTGAGAGTCCATCAGCAAACCCCTCTCTGTTTGGAACTTGTGATAGTTCCTTTTCTGTGTGTGTCATAGGACAGCAATTTGTGGAGAAGCAGAGCCTGCAAATGTAACCAGAACGTCGTGAATGGGATTTTTCACGTAGTGAAGTTTTAAATCTTTCAGATTTAAGTTTTCTGCGTGTCTGCTTGTTGATGAACTTGCCCAATGTTGGCAATAGACAGGCTTCTGAAGCTCTTAAAGAATTGATGAATTTGCTGTGCTGTTCCACATCTTTCGGGTAATAACATTGCCGTATGTGAGCTCCAAGTTACACTGGAGATGCAAGGATGGGAGTTAGCAGATGTCCTCTTCTTGTGCAATAGCAATAAGCAAGGAGTTGCAGGTTTCAAGAAGTACTAATCCATTTGTTTAAGTTTTTCTATAGTTATAGATGTTGTGTTTGGTTTTTGTTTTATTTTGTTTTTGCTTTATGTAATTGGTGATGTTGCTGAAATGCTTTGGAAGATCAGAACACCATGAAGTAGAAATGAAATTGGTTCACCAGCAGGATCTCAATACTAAGTTTTTCACATAGGTTTCCTTTGTATGAATGATAAATGGAACTAATTATGTTGCGTCTTCAACATGTAGGCACTCTGTGTCAGTCCTTCCTCACACTTTGCACAAGTGCTATTGTTGTTAATGTATGGCTGTTTCAGTTCTGTCAGTCAGCCTTCAAAAATGAAAAGAAATCCCAAAGAACTAGTAGAATAGGCTTACAGATAAGGGTTTTTAATTATTTCGGACCAATAGCATTCTTAAGTGCTTTATTCCTGTTTGGTCTTAAAAGGTAAGAAAATGAATGCCTGCATATACACAAGCACACAAATCAGAAACTGGGATGTTTGTCAGTGTTCCTTATCCTCTGTGAAAGGAATGTCTTGTAACTGGAGCAACAAAGGAAATTTTGCTTGTGTATGGTGCTTCCAGCTTTGTCTTTTGCTTTGTGTGTGTGTGAACTTGGGCAGATGTGCTGCTTGTCCTTCTCCAGGCCATGGCTCTACCACTCTAGGCTGTGCTGCAGCTGTCTGGGCCTGCTCTCTCTCTTGCATTGGAACCAGTGCAGTTGTATGCATTTGGTGGTGTGTCTCAGCTCTCTTACATTGGTAGGCATGAAACACAGCAGCTACCTCTGCCCAGAAAGCTCCAGCAAAGTCAGAATCCTGCCAATGGACTGCGCTGGTCTCGCTTCCCAGTTGGAATGCCAGAGCGGGATTGCGTGCTGGAAGGGAGGTATAGCAGTTCTTTGTAAGCACTGATCCATCACGGACATCCACAAGTCCCTGCCCTATTTGGAACAAGGGTAAAGAACTACTGGATTTGTGTCCCTGTGGCCAGGAGGGCCAGTGGTACCTGGGGGAGCCAGCAGGGTGAGGGAAGTAATCTTCCCCCTGTGCTCTGCCCTGTGGAGACCATGTCTGCAGCACTGGGGCTGGTTCTGAGCTCTCCAGTTGAGGCACACAGGGAATTGCTGGAGGGGGTCCAGTGCAGGGCTGTAAAGATGGTCGGGGCTTGGAGCATCTCCCTGGTGGGGAAAGGCTGAGAGATCTGGGACCGTTCAGCCTGGAGCAGTGAGGGCTGAGAGGGGATCTTATCTATGCGTATAAGTAGCTAAAGGACGGGGGTCAGGAAGATGGAGCCAGTCTCTTTCCAGTGGTGCCCAGTGACAGGACAAGGGGCATAAACTAGAACTTAGCAAGGTCCATCTGAATATGAGACACAAATTCCTTACAGTGAGGGTGACAGAGCCCTGGCACAGGCTGCCCAGAGAGATGGTGCAGTCTCCTCCTCTGGAGATATTTAAATCCGTCTGGATGCTTTCCTGTGCAACCTGCTCTAGGGAACCTGCTTCAGCAGGTGGGGTTGAACTGTAGATGATCTCCATAGGTCCCTTCCAACCCTTGCAGTTCTGGGATTGTGTTACTTTTAGGAATTTTGCTTCTTTGAAGCTTTGACAAGAAATCAGACAGGGAAAACGTTGAACGTTCCAAAGATGGTAGTTAACTTAGCATCTGCTAAGGAATTGTTTACAAGTTCCTCTTTTAGAATGCTAAGAGCATTCTGAAAGTATTCAAGGATGGACAGATGTGATGTACTGTAGTGTTTTAATGAGAGTCTGCTTAACTTACAAGAATGAAAATGGTAGTGGGCACATGGTGGAGTGCTTTAGATAAGGTACTTATTCAAGAGAGATTTTTCCCTGACTCCTGGGATAGAACTATAATAAAAGGAGCACAAAGTGTCATTCAGCAGATCTCGTTCCAACAATTTTTCTGCATAACTTTGAAAATAAATAGTGAGAAAACATATATGTCAAAAATGAGCTTGTAATTTGTTTCATGGTGTTTGATTGGCCTGTGTTTGGGAAATGCTGAGTCCTGTCCTGAACCACTGATTGAGCACCTGGAGAAAGGACCTGGTCAGCCCTGGGAGTGCAGGTGAAGGCAATTCAGCTGTGAGACAGGAAGGGCTGGCAAAGCCTGGCTGCAGCTCTCTTAGACCTCATTGAAGGGCTGACTGCCCCTGGGGAAGGATCTCTTTCTGGAGATCCATCCTTAGTGAAGCTTTCCCTGCAAACCTGGAATCTTCTGATACAGGTGAGCAATCTTCTGCCCTTCCTTTATCATGCTGGTCCTGTCATCCTACCTTATTGTAGTGCCTTTCCCATCATACTGATCTGTCCAGTTGCAACAGTCCGTTTTGTTATTCCTTTTTTGCATTCATACTTGTCTGTAAAATAATTTCAGAAAGCAAAAATTCCTAGAAACGTGCTCGCTCTGCCTGTTGCAGGAAGACAAGAGCGTTCCATGTGGAGTGCTGGAGCTTCAGCACTAGCGGCAGTTGGTCTTTGTGCTCAGCTCCCCAAAGCATGGCTTTAAAAAGAGGGTGGGTGATTGACCTTGTGTCTGTCCCAGGATGAGATGTAACTGGCTTTGTCAAAACTGTTGGATTGTTTGGCTTTGGGAAAGAATGGAAGGTGAAGCATTTGCCCTTGCTAAGCATGCTTGCAAAATCTTTTAATCAGAGTATCTTTAATAAACATGATTAGCTTCACATCAGCTGAAGGAATTAGTTGACTGGGTAATTTATATGCAGTTGACCGTGCAATTTTTATACAGGTGATGCACTGTAGACACATTTACATACGCATTAGCATGAGAATGCTTTGGAGGGGATGCCAACAGAAAGGCTGAAAACCACACATCTCTGTGTTCTCTTCAGACTGCTTTGCCTCGCGTTTCATGTGGACTTTAAGCCTTATGGAAAGGTGGACTGCAGGGTTCTGTATTCCAGTGTAACAGATGTACTTCCAAGTACAATTACACTAAGGGTGGGACAATTGCAACCACTGGATAATAATACTGTATAATTATGTTTACACGATGCTGGGTCCTTCAGAGAAGGCCTGAAAATAATTATTTTAAATTAGAATTGGATCCAAAGTTTTGTCTGCAGTACAAAAACTTGAGTGCTTTTTGCATATGGGCAGTTCTCTGCATTTCAGTGCAAAAGCAGCAGCGGTAAAAATCACATACCTGTACAGCTGAAGTTGTGCTGACTGAGATGAGTGCTTGCGAGTTTCAAGGCATGGTTTCGTTTGAAGTGCAGGTTGACTTTGTTTTTTTCCAATAAGCCAGTTTGCAGGTTTGTAGTGCTGTGGTTTCTGCCCTTTCTTAATTGCCGTTTCTTTAAAGATCAAGTCTGAGTTGCCTGACCTTTCCTGTGCATCCCCCAGAACGTATGTCCTTGTGTTCTCCTGCAGTCATTGACTGCTAATAGACCTAATGGCTGTTGGTTATTTGTTTGTTATTTTACTCAAATATTTATAGAGCACTATTGCTGTTTTCCCAGGCTCATTTCTTGCTTCCCCTTCTTGTCACTCAGAGTCGTGGTGTGATTAAAGGGTCCTTTCCTACTAGTCACGTGGACTGCAAAGAGGTATTTGTAGGGATATGGGTTTGTGGGAGAGCGTTCGTTTTGAGTTGAAGGGTATATCTTTCCCTCAATTGAAAGGAGCCTTTCAGAGGTTTTATAAGCTTGGAGGCAAAAACGTGACAAATTCAGCAGTGGAGGAGAAGCAAAATGCGAATGAGATGGAGGGAATTAATAAGGGAAATTCTCAAGTAAATTAGAGTCCCTTCCATAGAATCACATAATGATTTGGGTTGGGAGCGACCTTAAAACTCATCCAGTTCCTGAATAAAGCAAAAATAGTAAGACTCTTGCAGCAGAGCTGTTCTTAGTGTTACTCGTTTTAGAAAGCAAACTGCATGTGCTTCATGTGGTTGCTTACCATAAGTTTATCAGGGCACCTATCTTGCTAGACTTAGCTCCGATTGCTGCCATAACATATTCTGTAATTAAAATAGTGTGGTGTAACTGCTTAACAGCACAGTATTCCTTTAAGATTGTGCATCTTGAGGTGCAGAAGAGGAAGTGACTCAAGTACCAAGTATCAGCACTTAACGAGAAAGCCTGCTTTCATAGCAAGGCCTGCTCTTGTGCCATCAGAGCCTGTTTGTAGTGACAGACTGACACCTGCACTCACAGCAGCTGTAAATACACGCAGGGAATCAGAAGGCTGAATGTAGTTGGGTTAAAATATGGGGATTTTTTTTTTTTTTGGTAAAATATTAGAAGAGTGATTGCAAACAGTTCTCTTGCAGGAGACACTGGGTGAGCTCTGATGTGAGTTGTGTTCCTAGATGTACACAGACTTACTAGAAAGGTTTACACATCTGCAGTGCAATTTTACTTGCCTTGGTGTTTATGTACAAGGTCTGCTTGAAAACGGTGCTTGGGTTTTATTCCTGACAGCAGTGCTAATTATAGGTACCTTTATGGTGTGTGAATATACACAGAACCAGAAATGAGCAGACCCGGTTGCCAGCTCATCTCATGCTCTGAAGAACATAGCAGTAATGGAGCTAGCTTTCAAATATAGGCCTCTTTCCACTTATTTCTACGATACTTGGGCTGAATTTAGTGGTGGTAAAGGATTGGAATCCTGGTCTTGTACTACCAGTACTAACAGACTGAGTATTTGCATCCCTTGGCTGGATGATTCAGTGAAGAAAGGGGAGGAAGCCAACATGTATAGGTGGTAAACGACAGGTTGATGGGAAGCCTGCTGCTCCTGCAGTGAGCTATGGAGCTGTGTGCCATGGGGAAGCTTTTTGGGGTGGACCTGTTTTGGAAGCATGAACTGCAACAGAGAATACTTCATTTGTGGGAGATTCTCTATCTGAATGAGAGTTAGTGATGCTTTGAAACATAATTCTGCGATAACTCCGTCTTGCTTTCTAACTGTGGTTTTCTGATGGTGTGAGCAGTGGAATTGCTGCTTTTTATTCATTTTCTTCAGTTCTGCTTACATTTTTAATTGCTGAGATGTCAAGCTTTCACTGTACTTGAGTAAATCTATGTTTCTTTTTTTTCCTGATAGTTACTGAAATCATGAATCCTGTGTATAGCCCTGGATCTTCTGGGGTTCCCTATGCAAATGCCAAAGGAATTGGTTATCCAGGTAACTCCCTTATTTTTGTTTTCAATTAAACTTTGGTCTGCTAGTCTGTGCAGTCAAGGAGTAGTTGCTCATTAGTGGGTTCTGTATGGTGATCGTTTGTTTGTGGTTTCTTGTTTTGCTTTTAATTTCAAAAGTGGAATTTCAAAAGTTGTGTTGGTTGTACTGTTTTATAATCTTAATATGTCTTGCAAAGTGACTTATTTGGGGAGCTCACATAATTATGTCCTGCAAGAAGAGGAGCCAAACTTCTTTATTCTAGTTGACTGATGCTGTTAACAAGAATTAGAAGAGAAAGCAGTGAAGTTTGGACCAAGAAAATGACCAAAAAGTACTTTAAAAACAGAGAAGTAAAAATATTTCTTGTTTTCCTTGCTTCTCACTTCTTTTCAGGTTTCTTGCTGTTTTCCAGCCTCCTACCTAATGCTCAGTGTGAGCATTCTGGTTTCTGATCTCTCTATAGTTCCGAAGTTTAATAAAGCAATAATTAGATGTGGACAGACAAAACTTTCCAAGGAGACTGAAAAGAAGCCATTTCCTCTGTGAAGCATTTCAAACAGCTTCTTGATGCAGCCTTTTTTTACCTTTGTGGTATAAGTTAATTATTCCATTCTAGGAGAATCTGCATGGTTGATCAACTCCAATTTTATGTATTGTGATTTTTATGTATCAGAATGTGTTGCCTTCACAGGCAGGTTGATCTGTATTGGGAGCTAGAAGTCATTCAGCACATCAGTTAATAATCTCTGTACTAGGTCTTCCTACTGATCTACAGTTTTAAAATTTGTGTTGTAACTTCAGTCAAGTACTGATGCTCCTCTTTTCCATTTTTGTGTTCCCTCTAAATAGTGATGTGTTTGCTCTGGATTAGATCTATATGAGCCCTTCTATCTTTCTGTCTGTTGATTCCCTTTTAGGAACTTTTATTTTATCTTCAAGTTAGTGTAGCTTTATGAATTTCTTCTACAGTATTGATAAGACAAAAAAGTCCTGTATTGCAGTGTTTAAGTCTGTTGAGTGACTGGAATGGTTCAGTTGTGAACTGCAAAGCTGATGCTGTGTAACTGTAAGTCTTGCAGGATGGTCTTACTCTCCATCTTAATTGGCTATATGGGCCAATATTATCATAAGGTGTGCAGCAGTTACTTAATGTCAGTTGCAGTACAATTATCTCTATATTCATAATTGATTTGTCAAGTCTTTCTTCAGATTGAGATAAAGATTATTACAGTGTACATCACAGAATGGCTTCAATTGGAAGGGATGTTAATAATAATCTATTTCCAACCCCTTGCCATAGGCTGGCTGCCCCCTGCCAGCTCAGGCTGCCTAGAGTCCCATTCAAACTGTCCTTGAGCACCTCCAGGGATGGGACACACGCACAGCTCTGTGCAGCAGTGCCAGAGCCTCACTGCCCTCTAGGTAATTGATTTCTTCCTAGCATCTAATCTAAATTTTTCTTCCTTTAGTTAAAATCCACTCTCCCTCGTCCTCATCACTGTTGGACCTTATTAAAAGTTGCTCTCCCCTGTTTATAAGCTCCCAGTACGTGCTAGATGGCCATAATCTCCCAGGAGCCTTCTCTTTTCTGGCTGAGCAAGCCCAACTTCTTGAACCTTTCTTCACAGGAGAGGTGCTTCAGCCCTCTGAGTGCCTTTGTGGGCCTCTTCTGGACCCCTGGCTCCAGCAGCTCACCTTCTTTCTTGTGCTGGAGTACTGCAGGTGGGGCCTCGTAAGGACAGAGAAGAGGGGGACTGTCTCCTCCCTTGCCCTGTGAGCACCCCTCTTTTGATGCAACAGGGTGCCGATACTAATTGATAGTTATATCTCCTTTCATTTTCTAAACACAGATTTGTATTTATCAGGGTTTCCCTTGTAACTGTTCACTTAACTTACAACTGTTCACACGTTGCTTTTCAGTCATCATTTAGTCTTATCTAAGTAGTACTTCAATTTACTTAGGAAAATGGACTATTACAGACCTGTAAATAGCAGTTTAAACAACACAGGAACAATAGAATAGAAGATGAGAAGTTATAGATACTACTGTCTGTACATACATGGATAGATCTGCTGGTCTTTGCATTGCCATAAACTGGAATAACTGAAATACATGGGATTTAAAGAAAGTTGGTATAAATGTGCTTGAATTGCCATATTTCAAGCTGGTGGCTTAACATTCTTGCATGCAGAAGTTAGTCAGCTTCTGGAAGTGTGACTCCTGAGTTCAGCCTTGTCAGTCAGTTCTGCCCGTGATGCTGCTAGAGCTTACTGAGCTCTCATTCACACATAAAGACCATGGGATAAACACAAAACATCCTGTAAAATGAAAAGTAGACTAGCATATCCAGAGGCTTGGAACTAGATGATCTTAAAAGGACCTTCCCAACCCAAACCATTCAATGATTTTGACATTAGTTTTTTTTTCTTTAAAATAATGGCATGACTAAGTTTCCTTCTTTTGCCTCTACTAATATAGAAACTACAGATTCTCCTTTCAGGATCATTGAATTTACATGGATTGCATGATAATAGAAAGTAATGAGCATACAGCTAGGAGGAGTGTATTATTTGAAGGCACTGTGTTTGTAAAGCTGTTGCATATTTAATAGCTGCTTGTATTGCACTGCATCTATTTGAAGTTGTTGGATTGGTTTACAGTAGCAAGGAATCAATATCCAAATGTTCTCATGTGGGTTAAAGTTGTATCTAGAAGTTAAAGCTGCTATTTGGAGTAACTGAACTCCTCTGGTTCAGAGCTCTTTGTGGAGTTAAACCTGTGAAGAATGGAGAGCTGAAAAATTATGTAAGAAATAATGCTGCAGTTGTGAAGTCAGGTATAGAGCTGTATGGAGGACCTTTGCTAGGAGCTGGGGAATTTGAAATCTTCAGAGCTGTTTACACTCTGAAAAGTTGTTATGACTCGTATGTTATCTTTGATTTTAAGCCTAATGCTTCTCTTAAGTGGTAAGAATGGTTCTGGCCAACAGTAATGTAACTTGATACATTTGCAAAGTGCTTTATAAAACTAAGGGTGCTTAGTCAGTCCCAAGGTAAGCATAGATTTTGTTGCAAAGAGTAACTCTAAGGACTTCAGAGTTTGAGAAAGCAGGGATGCATCAAATGTGAGAAGCGTTTTGAAACTGACAGTGATGATGTGAATAGTCATTGCATTTTATCCATAGAATTTGAAATATCTAAATGAAATTATTTAATTAAAATCTAGCAAACTTTGTATCTTTGGAATATCGATATATAGATTGCATAATAATTTAGCCCTATTTGTTCATGAATGCTGGTGCATAAGTGTTTCCCTATGTTTTGCTGTTGCCTGAGTGGATCACTTATTGTTTTTGTTGAGTATTACAGCACAGTACTAAAACACACCTCTATCACACACTTCTATCACACCTGAGTATAGTGTATCTGTATCAAAAGCAGCAAGTGTTTTGAGCTGCCTGAGGCTGCTTTGTACTTTCTGCTTGTGACCTCTCTCATCTGGGAAGTCAGAGGTGCTCTGACTTTAAGGGATTTCATTATTCTTGTGAAGTAGAGAGAGGTTTTTTTACCAATTGAACATTTTCATCAGGTCATAAAACTTAGGGAATCTTGGATAGTTGCACAGACCTCTGTTGTCTGACTTAATAGTTGTGTGGCCAACATTAAGGTTTGCAGAAGAATGGCCCTTGTGACTCCTGAGCTGTCCCCTTCAGCTTCAGGTGGCTTCAGAGAGAAGGGGCACACTGAGAAAGCATCATCAGAAGGCATCTGCTGGTTCATCTCAATTAAAGGGTGTACAGGAGGAATAAAGTTTGGTTAGGCTTTACAGTCAATCTAGAAAATAACTTTGATGTACTCTTTCTTCCAGCTGGCTTCCCAATGGGCTATGCAGCGGCTGCTCCTGCCTATTCCCCTAATATGTATCCTGGAGCAAATCCTACCTTCCAAACAGGTATGTGTAATAGGTGTGTCTAAGCAATAACCTGAAATTCAGAAGTTACTAGAACCAAGAGCTAAGAATAAGGAAAAGTTGTTGGGGCTTACAGTAACACCTACTCTGTGGGTTTTCTAGCGTGGCCCACGTGAGACCTGAGATTTCTTCAGTGTGCAGGTACTTTCTTGGAGTAGGTCAAAGCTGTTTTTTACTATCCTATCATTAGTGCTGGGTGCTTCAGCTAACATGCTTGTATTTCCACTCTCAGAGTATAATTTAGGTAGTGTGCAATATAACGTGGCAGCAGTGGAGCTTTTCATAGGTCTGTTGCATTCTTCATGAAATCCTGAGACTGTGCCTCTGATGAGGGCTGCAGGAATTGTGAAAGAATTGTCTGTCTTTAGGTAGAACCTGAGCCAGCAGTTGCTACTTATACCTGCAAAAGTCGTCATCTTGCTGTAATGTATAAAAATAATTCTTAAGTGATTATTAAGGGTATGTCTATATCTGGAATATACTGAAAGGAAATTTAATGATACTCAAGTGCCTTCGGAGTCTAGTTTGCAGTTGCAGTGATCCACAACACTGATATTTTAAAGGTAGGATCTCTTTCGTGCTTTCCTTAGGTAGTCCATAAAATGCCAACAAGCAAATATGAATAAACTTCAGTTGAAGTGGAGAGGCATATTTTTGTCTCTGCTCTCCAAAAAGCCATCTTAAGGTCTTAGAAAGGTTCTGACCTTAGAAATTGTTTTTCTTGTGCTTTGTTTCTTCTTCTGAAGAAGGTAGCTACCTATCATCTCCTGTCATTACAATTTTGGTTGTGTTGAGATGGACTGATATTAACATGTACCAAATCCTCCTGTGTAGGATTACTGTCTAATACATTGAATCCAAATGTTTAACACTACTACTACTAAAATCCAAAGCCACTTTTTATATAAAATCCAGTGAGTGGAAAAGCAAGTGGATGCAATAATACAGTAACTCTTCATTCTTAGTTGAGACAATCAAGTGTTACATACAGACATTATCAGTACTGCCTATAGGATATAATTTGTGCATGGATATTAAGGCTAATACTAAATACTCACATGAAGATAAAGGAAATCAGGAATTAAGAAAATTGCTGCCCGTGACATCATAAAGTAGTGTACTGACACTTTTTTCATATTTTTAATGCAGATTTACCTTTGTTTCCAGGTTATACACCAGGCACTCCTTATAAAGTGTCTTGTTCACCCACTAGTGGTGCAGTCCCGCCGTATTCCTCATCACCAAATCCCTACCAGACTGCTGTGTATCCAGTCCGAAGTGCCTATCCACAGCAGAATCCATATGCACAGGTAAGTGATTAAAACCAAACAACTCTCATCTGGTTAGGTAGTGCTTTGTCTACACTGTAATATCTGCTTGCATTTTATTCCTTCGTGGGGTTGAAGAGGATAATTAGCTGCCAACAGAGAGAATTCGTAATGCTGTCTCTTACAGTGTTACGTCTGTGCACTTTTATGTTTCATTTTACATGATGGTTACACTCTGCTCATTGATAAAATGTTCAGTGTTTGAAGACAGACAAGTTTCAGTAGCTTGAAAAATGAGTGCTAGAAGCTACTGCAGCAGTTTGTCAAAAATGGTCATAAGTTAGCACTATTTTTTTAATGACATCTCTGTTACGGTTTAAGGAGTTATCAAGTCGGCTTGACTCTTGAAAATTGTTGAGACTATTTTAACAGGCAAGCTGTTGAGAACTGCTAGAAAGGACAGAATGAAGACGCTTTGATAAACGTAATATTTGGGGGAAAAGTAGGTGCTTCTGTAGAGGAAATTTGCACGGCATGTTAGTTGAAGGGGATTAATGAGCATGTAGCAGGGTTTATCCAGACTGTTCAGTGAATTTGGATTTGTCAGAAACCTGGGATTCTTTAACCAAAAACAGTTGAATAAAAAGTTATTTCACATGTGAATGTATGAAAAGATGTGAAACAAAGAGACCTTATTGCTGAAGATACAGTCAGCATGGGAGAGCTATTTTTACCTCTGCCATTGAGTTATACAAAGTGCCTTAAAATGAAGGGCTAAATGTTACCAAGTTTGTTAGTGAAAGAAGATATAATATTTCTTATTTTCCCCAAAAGGTACACAGTAATTTTTTAACTTACTTTTTCTCAACAGCAAGGCACTTACTACACACAGCCTTTATATGCAGCACCACCCCACGTAATTCACCACACCACAGTTGTGCAGCCTAATGGCATGCCAGCAACCATGTACCCTGCTCCTATTCCACCACCAAGAGGAAACGGTGTGACCATGGGGATGGTGGCTGGGACTACTATGGCAATGTCAGCAGGTAGGTGGACTTCTAACCCTTGTGTCTTCTTGATGAAGCTCTGCTTTATTTGAGGGAAAACATTACTGCGTTATAAAATGTGATGCCAGAGACGTGCTGTGCAGAATCATAAACTTAGTGCTATTAGAAGGGACTTCTGTAGGTTATCCAGACCAGCATCTTCACACTGACTCCAGCCTAGATCTGGGTGGTTACTTCTCCAGTGATATTTTGATCATCGGTAGTAATGGGGATATTAGCATTTTTGTTTCAGGTAATGGTATTACAGTAAGATGGTAATTCTGTATATCTTTATGGAATTTCATCTGGTTTTGAATCCTTTGCTTCTAATCAACGTGAAGGCTCTGAATTCCTCCTCTCCAAACCTTTCTCTGTACCTAGATGAAGGCAGCAGCCTCTAAAGGCTGAACCAAGCACTTTGTTCTTAGCTTGCCCTTCTATTGCTGACCTCTGTGTGTTGAGATAGAACGTTCTGTGTTTGCACTGCACGGGGGTCCTTTCTGTCGTGGGCAATTGTTAGGAAAGCTTGCTTCCTAGCTCCACAGTCATTGAGTTACAGATTTTTGGAGATGATGTTTAACTGCTATGTAGACTCACCTGTGAGTCTTTTTCTGAGGAGTGTTGTGTTTATTACTCAGTGTAACTCAATAAGAAATGTCCACATTCTCTCAAATATTCTCAATTCGGTAATTTAAAAAATGAGTGCCATGAGCTTGTTTCCAGACTGTTCTTTATCTCATCAGGTTTATCATTTAATCTGGGGGAATCTCAGATGTAGGGAATTGACACGTCACAAACAGAACTAACTAGAGTGCTTTCAGTTTCGTGTGTGGGCACGCTTATGCCAGGTATTTTTTATTATTACAAAGCATTGCAGAGTGAGGCTGTTAAGATCCTGCTATCTCAGCCTGTTTCTGAACCCCCTCTTTGTCTGTAAAAAAAACTGTATCTGTGCTAATGCAAACGAGAAGTAATTTATTCTGATTTGTCAGTCGAGTTATCTCTACCATCAGATATTCTTTTGGCCTGTAATGCTGGCTGTGGGAAAAAGTATTTCAGTGAATAATCTGCTTATGTTGCAAGGCTTCTGCTAAAGCTGTTTGTAAGTAATGAGCATCTTTGTGTTGGACTAAGCATCAAAATGGTACAGTTGCTTAAATGTTTGAAGGAAGATTAGGGCTAGAGTGCAAAATGAGGCTGGTAATTTTAAATCAGACTACGAGCAAGCTATAAGATTTTCTTAATTTCTCCTGTATGTTTTTCTATACCAGAATGTGTATTTTTAAATATTTTACTTTTAAATATATGTATATACTTTTAAATATATGTATATTCTCTTCTTCCTAGGAACTTTGTTGACAACTCATTCCCCAACTCCAGTAGCCCCTCATCCAGTTACTATGCCCACATATCGGGCTCCAGGAACACCAACCTATAGTTATGTGCCCCCACAGTGGTGATCATCCTGGCAGTCAGTGTAAGTTGTTGATTTATACTGAAAGCAGTTCGTTGTTGTTATTTATTAGTAAATATTCATTTGGGGGGGGAATTCTGGTAAGCTTCAGCTCGTGCTTCTTGTAGTCACTGTGGGAAGATGAGTTCTGATATGGACCATAAATTAGATTGTGGGTTTGAGGAAAGAGATTTGATTTTTGAAATCTTACTATGAAATGGGATTTGGAGGAGTGTAATGTGTGTGTCAAATTTACACAAAGATTAATGTTTTGGGGATCCTCACTTTTGCTCCTGGTTTTTGTTTTTTTAGTCTATATCAATAACTGCTCCATTTGAAATGAAATGACCAACTGAACTAGAATTTTTCACTTTGTCAGTGTAGTTTATGATAACGTTATTAACTTTGTTTTAACTCTCTTTGGATTTCTGTGCCAGTGATTGGGAATTCCAAATTTGCCTTTTGAGTTAATAGAGCAGCATCCATGTTGGGCTTTGCTTCGATGCTATGCTACAGAACACAAACCTGAAGTTTTTCACATAAAAGCCTGTTTCAGCCCAAAATGTCAAATTACATTAGTGCAAAAAGTGGGAATTTCACTGTATCTAACCTAAGGTAATTTAATTAGGCTTAAAATACCTTTTTAAGATTACACCTTCTTCTAAGACAAAACTACATGGCAGTAGAAAGTTGGAGCGCAGATGATGGGAGAAAATCAGCATAATGAATTTTTAACATAGAGGCCTGTAGATTTCAGTGGATAAGTGCTGGAATAGCACTGTATGGTCCTTCTGAATATCTGATGTGTTTGTATTATCTCTGTGGTGCATGCAGTTGTAGGATGTCTTACCACACTCTAATAGTATCTCACTTAATCGAATATCTTCCGTCCCCTCAATGTAGGTTTGAAGATGGGAGATATGCAATCAAGAAATTGAGGTTTAAAAGTTGGTGCTGAAGCCCTCATGCCTCCAACCAGGACTCTTCTTCTGAATGCTTTCAACACTTGGCTAAACACTACTAATTCCTGATCACTGAAGATTTTCCAGTGCTGCATATCTTACATCTTGGAACTCCAGCAGTTAGTCTTAAAGCAAATCCTGTTTTGTGGACTGTCTTGCAATTTTTTAGCTAATTATAATGATAAAAAGGGAGTATAAATTTATTCTGATCCATATCTAGTTGAATGCATGTTAAAACACAAAAACAAAGCTTGCTCAATCTACCTGCAGTGACTGATGCAAAAACCATCATATGCAAATCCAAAGGAACCGAGAAGTATTTTACAACTTGTATCACTAATGCACTGTTGTAATGTATGCAGGGTCTTAAAAGGTAGAATCATGAAAGTGAGTTTCTTTGTAGACTACCGTAAGATACATTAGATAAGAGCTTCAACCTTTTTTGGGTTGATGGGATTGCCAGTTTAAAAGGGGCACTTTTTTTTGTTAATTTAAGTGATGTATTCTTTTCAAATTCAAGTACTAAATTGGAGTGACTGGAAAATGAGGCAGAAAAGCTGTAGGAATCCCGCACGCCATTAGTTTACTTCATACCTTTACGTTTTTGTTACATGGATTCAGTGTTATAGAGCTGTTCTCAAGGATCAGAATGAAATGACGAAGGTAATGCTGTGTGTGCGAGTAAATAAAGCAAGCTTCCTTGAGGCAAAACTTGCCATTAGGAATAGTAGGAGGCGACCTGTGTAATGAATTGCATGCCCTGGGGAGATACATATCCAGTACTACCTTTCATACGATGCAAGATGTGTCAAAGTGAGACTGCCACACAGGCTGATAGAATAACACTTTCCTTTAGATCTCCGTTCAAGAGATCACTGTTGTTTTTCCTAAAGAATGTTGTAGTCAGTTGCAAACTTAGGTGCAGTTGACCCAGCGTGCTTTCCTGATGTTTAAGAAGTATTAGGGCTTTCTACAACAGACGGGGAGATCAGCTGCGTGCTATCCTGAGGAAAGCTGGTGTGCCTGATGAGTATGTTAAAGGGGAACAAATCATTTTAACACAATTTCCTTGTTAGCTACTTGCAGTATGGACTACAGATATGCTGTAGTAGGGCTGCCAGAATATAGAGGTTTCAGATAGTTTGGTTGTTTTATTTTTTCCTGAAAATATTTGTAATTGAAGTGGGAGCCATTTGGTGGTTACAGCGTTTTGATGTATTTTTGTAGCATTTTTCCTTTTTTTTTTTTTAACTTCCTAAATTGCACTTGGAAGCACGTACAAATAAGACTGACTGCAGATTAGCATTTCATTGCAATGAGTCATTTCTGGTATTCTTTCTTGCAACTTCAATTTTTAAAACAGTACCTCAAAGCAAATGCAGTGGTGATAAAGGGCTAGCCTTAGAACCCATTTCTATACCAAAATTCTCACCAGGAAGATTTTAAATTTTCAAAGTAAAATGTTGCACATGAAATCAAGGTTTTTCTTAGACCTGCTTACTTACAATTTCAGAAAAATGCAACTTTTTTTTTAATATACATTCTGCCTGCAATAAATTATGCAGTAAATGAGAATAAAATGTTGTTCCCTTTTAAGCGTTTACACAGAGGTATATCAGGCTGTATCGTTCTCGTAGTCTAATTTCCATTCAAAAGTGATAATTTTTTTAAAGTTCTCTATCTAATTAATGTTTTTCTGGGGGTGTTCTGCTCCTCTATAGATTTGGCAGCTACTTTGGGATAGCATCAGATGTAATGCTGCCATTCCAGTACTCTGCCCTGGTGGGATCCTTGTGAACTGGGGTTAGAGCCTTCAGTAACTTTATTTTTTACAGTAAGCACTCTCCATGTTTTTTTTTTACTACTTTTTTTTTAAATAAAGATTAAGATTATTTTTCAGGAATCACTGTCAGAGGACAGCCCCTTTAGTTTTAATGCCTTGAATATGAATGATGTTGGAATAAGTACTTTAAACCTTACTCATGAGCACTTATTGCAGCTTAGGGATTTCCATATGTTTCCATATGGAGCAGAAAATTACCCCAGACAAACCATTTGAATCTGTACTGCCTTGGGTTAGGTCTGTTCAACGATTCCTTTTGTGTAGCAGGTTTGCAGCTTTGAGTAGCCAGGTGTGCTGGGTGGTACAGTGAATGTGAATCCAGGCCGTTTGTTCAGTTTGCAAGTAGTGTGACATTTTGGTTGTCTTAGCATGATTTTAACAAGAGTTCAGGTGTGAACCAGTGCTATACTGAGGAGAAGCTGTACAGAACAAGCTCAGAGCTTCGCTGTCTCCTGTCTCATCACCCTATAAACTAAAGCTTTGAAAATCATAGGAGTGAACTTCAGTGAATGCTGCATTAGATAAATGGTTAAGGAACGAACACAACATCCTGCATCTTTGCTCTCAATTCAGATTCCTAAATGCCATCCTGGAATTGATCCCTATAACGTTCTGTAACTTTTAGGCAGTCACGCTTGAGCACTTTTTTTTCTAAGTTGCATTATGGGATTCATCCACGAGGGGGAAACTACCTTTTTTTTCCTTTGAGAGAAAAAAAAAAAGGTACCACACCTTCCAGTTGTGATGGGTTGTAATGTACTGGGAGGGTGGAGCACATCTCCAGCAGTTTGATATGGGAAGTTACCAAAAGCACAGTGCGGAGGGGGACAGGAGGGGAGTATGTGTGTGTATATAACTATCTTAATGGTATTTTGTTGCAAATAGTAGAAAGCATGGATATAAAACAGCGGCGGGGGAAGTTGTACATCGTTAAATAGGCGTTTACACAGTGAGGGTCTTATGAAACATTCTCTCCTGCTTTTTATATAACATTCCCTATTTAGAATTCCTTTATAAATAAACGCGCAGTATGTTTGCACGGGAGCTCTTTGACAATGGGAAGGGCTCGTGCTGTAGAGACATTTCAGATCAAGCTTCTCTTTAAAAAAAAAAAAAAAGAAAAAAAGAAAAAAAAAAAAGAAAACTTTTATGGCAGCTTTATATGATTAAAAAAGAAGTACTACTTCAAACCTGGAACTGAAGAGATAACTGCAGCAATAACAGAGAGAAGTCCAAAATAGATTTTTCTTTTTCTTTTTTTTTTTTTTTTTTTTTCCAATTCAAATTTCAAGTGTTCAATTTAGGTAAAAATATTTTTTAAAGACTGAAGTATTCCCTATGTCAGTGACAACTGATGAAAATGTCTTTTAAATGTAGCAGCAGCAAAATAGAAATAGCTAATAACTGACACCAAAAGCATGTAGCCCTAGTCAGTGGCACGGTGGTTATTAACCAGGCAATTGGAAGGAGAACAGAGAGCCTACTACTAGATCTTGCTATGCTTGTAACCATCTCCTGTCTGAAGTTTCTAGGAGCCGTACAGGGACGCTGTTCATGAAAGCTTTTGAGTGTACTATGCAGGTTAAAAGCTTAGTTGGCAGTGGTAGATAGGGAAGAAAAATCCTTTCCTTTAGTCCTTCCTTGTGTCGCTTCATCCACTGGAGGAAGAAACAAACAGTAAGTACCACAATATCTTAGTGTTGTCTGAAGATATGTCATGGTACAGAGTTGCATACCAGGATACTCAACACTGACTGCTCTTCACAAGGTGTTGTGGCTTCGCTGTCACTTGGGTCGTAGGCTGCTGAAGGGATCTGAGCAAGAAATGGTCAGAACTGGCTTGGAATTGCTCCCCAGTGCTTAAGCGTGGTATTACGCACCATTCATTTGGTTTTAGAACATATTTTTGCTTGAATAGCTGATGCCACCACTTAACTCCAGGCTTAGAGTCATACCAGAGAATGGTAATGTGAAATCTCCCACGTTAGGAACACGAGCAGTAGTGATGCTTCAGCTGGAATGCATGGGGAAAGAGGACAGCTGTGGTTGTTGTTCTTTGCAGTTGCCCAGATGTGGTTTGTGCAGTAGTTGGTAGGTAGTTGGTAGTTGGTATGATCCATGTGTGGTTTTCTCCAGCAGGTGTCACTGGCCAACCTTCATGTTTGCTGAGGGTCAAAAGCAATCCATTAGTCCTCACGTGGCAGTGTTTGTGAGCACTTGTCCAAAAAACAACAAAGAGTTAAGCTCATTGAGATGGTTCTTACATAACGTGTCAGCTTGCTAAGTTTGTATCTTATCAATTCTAATGAGATTTGTTGAGTTAGCATGCCAATTAAAAGGAGCAACTGCAGCGAAGTTAGGATTGTGCAAGCCTCAAAGAGCATCGAGTTCTTTCTGAAGTAGTGAGGACGGCTTCTTTGTGGGGGTGTGTGTGCTGGGAGAAGGTAAGGTGTGTTTTGCAGAGGGAAGAGAGGGAAGAAGAACAGTGTTTATCTGGGGGGATGAGGAAACCTTTTCTTTTGTATGTTGAATATAACACTTAAACATCTGAATTCCACACGTAGGTAGTAAGGGTCCATTTGTGTAAAAAATAAAAAAATAAAAAAAAATTCTAAACAGTGTATGGGCTCTGAAGTTTCAACACCAAGAAAGTGAACATGACTTTTCTAAACTGTTGTGACTTTTGGGCACTTAGCAGGCAAACTGGGAAAGCTTTTTTAGCTGGCTGCTGTACAGACTTGTTTTAAGTAGAATGAATTTGTTAGTGTGTTTCTTTTTTAATTGTAATGCTATTATTGGCTGCCCTCATGTCTAAGAATTGGAAAAGTGAGTGCATGCAATGGAAGTACAAGAGGCCCCAGTAATAGTTCTCCATGTTTGTTATGAAATAGACACAGGTTTCCTTTTTATGACTTTTTAAAACTGTCTTACAAACAGTTGTATTGGTACTTTTTTTTTTTTTAAGTTTAGGTCAATGTTGTCTTCCAGGATAAGTTTTAAGGCATCACTCACTCCTGCATTGAACTATCACATCAACACAAAGAGTGGAGATCCCATTCTGAGCCAGTTCAATTGTGAAAATTCATACTTTTTTTATTTTTTATGCAATTCAATGAGTAGATGAGCTCAGATTTAAATTCTTAAAAGCACGTTTATTGTAACAAGAATTGTTATGTATTAATACTTCAGTTTTCAATAAAGATTGACTTGTGTTGCTTATTGTGGGATTGTTTTTCGGTGACGTGGTCAGAAAAGATTCTGCCTTTAAATGAATGAAATCAAAGCAAGGTACTGAAATCAGTGAGGGTGGGCTTTCTCAGTAGGATTTCTCCGTGGCTCACAGAGCATAGCAATGAGTCTTGCCAAGGTGGAACATTTGCATTGCCTGACAAAACTGTGAAGATCCTGCAACTCTGCCTCGCTCCTTTTTGGGGCACTTCCTGGGGTTTGGTGCTGCTTTTATTGATGTTTCTGGGCATCAAAATAGTTCAAAGCAAAGGAAACAGAAGTCTTTACATTTCACGACACTATAGAGTTTACTTGGTATCAGGTTATTGTTGTCCTTAAGATGACAGGTCTCAAACAGATAAACCTTCAAGTCAGTATCTTGATTATTCCCCAGAAGCAAAAGAATAAGTTGCTGCAATGCATGGGCAGTCTGCTATTTCTTTAGAGGATGGGTGGGTGTAGGTGGCACTACGATGGCACTGTGTACATCCCAGGGGAGGAGAGAGACCGATGGCGTGCTGTGCTGCTGGAACTGACAGCCTGTCCTTGTTCATTCTAGGAATCCAGAAATAACGTGCCTAGGAACAGTGCTGTGAGAAGCAATGCATGTGGAAGAGGAAAACAGTTGAGTTTCTACAGTTGTGGCTGAGCATAACTGATGCTCAAAGTTCTTCTAATTTTTTTTAAGTTTTTTTATCATCAGATCATTGGAGCTGATGAAAATCCATACCCCCTAACCAGCGGGCTGCTGTAATCAGGGAGGGATATAAAGGGAAAATACTGTTCTTCAGTGATTTTGATCATCACTGGGTTGAAGGGATCCTCTTCTTGATGTGGTTTCTTGGTGTGAGGATTTCTTGTTTAAATGTGTCCGTGGGACTATCGAAATGGAAGGTCAGCCCGTGTTTGCTTTTTCCCACTTGCCCATTTCATTTCATAATGCCTGCTACTCTGCTTGTTACTCGTAATGCCTGCTGTAATGCCTGTTACACTGCTATTTAATGGTGTGAGAGCCTGTTGGCTCTTTGCTGTGAAGGCAGGTGTACTGACAAGGGCTGCCCTTGCTGTAGAGGCAGCTTTGAACACTTGGCAGCAGCCAAAGCCCTTTCTAGAAAAACAACCATTCCATTAGAGACTGTCAGAAATAAAGCTGCAAGTTCCAGGTTTCAACTTTTCCTGTTTAAAAAATTAGGGACAAAAAGAAAGTTTGGCTTTCTCTAACACGTGTTCTTATTTCTCTGACACACGTTACTACATTTTAAGCTCCGTTGCTCGTTGGTTCATTGATCCAGGTAGCAGAAATAGTTTCATCGATAGCTGTGCTGCAGTTAGGAGCTGTGTACTGATCCTCAGTAGCTGGGGATTTTGTAGGAGGCATCCATCACGGTGCTGGTGTAGAAAGGGGTTTTGCATTACCTATATAAACCATACTATATATTACCTATATACAACAGAGCAAGTGCATCCTGCCCTGACGCTCCAGGTTAGGATGGGATCGATGTGGTAACTAGGGGAAGAATGTACAACAGGAAGAGGCATTTGGAGGCTGCAGGGAGCTGTAGTGCTGCAGTGTCTGTGTGCTGGAGGAATGGCAGAGCCACAGGGAGGCTGCAGTGCCCACCTGCATGAGTAACGCAGGACACGGGTCTTGGTGGACAGAAAGCACAAACTTGGTAGAAAAAAAGCTAAAATTGGTGCAACTAAACCTTTGGTTTGGGGTTATATACATCTATTCTGTAGTGTTTCACAATAGCTTGGGTTTTTTTTCTGGGCAGGAATGGTGCTGGACAAATAGAAGCTTCAGAAATAGGAGGGGGCAAGGAGGGAATACCTTTCTGCAGTTACACTTTTACCAGCCTTACCTTAAGAAGTACGATAGCGAGAAACTATGAGGTGGAGATGAGTGCTGTATCTTTTATTGCTAAAGTGCTAACGTGGCTGAAGCAGAAGTGTCAGTTTATCTTGATGTTATGAT